CCCCCCCCCCCCCCGCCCTAAGTCCGCCACTGTAGATGGGTGCTGGGGAATTTGTGGTGGTTAAAAACGGAAAATAAAGAGCACGAAAAACAGGCGAAAATCCTTCCTATTTTTCAAAGGTCTGGGATAGGGCATACTTGGTCGCAAATAGCAATTGTTCCAATTTCCGGGAAACATTCAATTTTTTTCTTTGTTTAAAAGCAGTGGTTTAAAAGGGTTCAGTAGGGCCTACGTATTGTCTGCCTTCTTGGGGAATGTGAAATGAGACAGAAAGCTTCCTTATTGTTCATGAATTTGGAGACAGTCCCTGTACGTGCTCTAGCACAACAAATAAGGGGGAGGAACTGCGGGAACAGCTTTGTTTACAGTCCCTCATTTCCACCCGCGCAAGGATATGTCGAGGTTATGAGGTGAGCTTCAAAATTCATTATCCGCCACCAGGCGGCGGAACTGATCATTTCCGTCAGCCTCGGGTTACAAGACGGTCCTAACCAAGTGCAGTTTTGGACGTCTTCCGTTTCCGTCTTGGTTTTAGAGAGATAAAAATTGTGTTGTCCGAGACAAATTTAAAGGAAAATTCACAGCCTTAAGATGTTTCCCACTATAAACCTAGGGCCATTACAATAACTAATTAAAGCTTTACACGGATAAGGGTCTGATTCTTTTTTCTCCAAATTTCAATGAGGATGTCATGTTATGGATAATTTTCATGTAGATTGCATTTCGACACAAGCGTCTCAAAATACATGATTGCATTTATTTAAATATACAAGTACAATTGTGAACAATGACATCTCTAACTTTGGGTTATCACCTATCAATCAAATATAAAGCTTAAACTGTCTTTAAGTAGATGTAGCATGATTCTCAGTAGAATATACAAAATACCATTTATATCTAATGAATTAAAAATATTTACCCTTAAACAGTTTTATTATGAAGAGACTAATAAAATGTGGCACGTTAAACCTATACTTACTACACAAAATGATTATTATATAATTCAGAATAAATTTCTAAAATTTCTAGTCACCCTAAATTCTTTCAAGTTCCAAGTTAAAAAAACATCCTCCAAATGACAAGCCAATCTTCACTGCCATGGCTTAAAATAGATGATCAAAGCCATACATACTTTGCTCTTTAATTTTGTAAAAAAATTCAATTTTATAGCAGCAGTATTTATTCTATTCCTAAAAAATACCAATGTCTTCAAGATATTCCTGAAGGCTTATTTAAAAACTTGGGCACCTTAAAATACACTCCATGCCATTAAGTAGGCATTACACACCAAAACTATCTGACAAAGACTGAAGAACAAAATACATACTTTAATATATAAAAAATAGGACTCATAGTATTCCAGGAAATACACACGAAAGCATTTGTTTACACTTACAGAAACACAAATCTTAACAAAATTAAACTAAGTAAAACAAATCTATGTTCATACATGCAACATACACATATAAATTCATTTCTTTGACATGATATATATTTTCTTACATATACTTGTAAATTGGTAAACTAATTTATCATATCAACAAGTAATAAGAGACAGCAATGGCTGGGAAAGCAATATTTGGTGGTGCAGATTTCTATGATATTGACTGTGGGCATTTCTATACAAATAACTGAGAACATTGAAAATGTGACAAATATAAAGTAGCCACAAAATATAAAATACCATGTAGTGCCTTCAATAACTTGCATTTGTATATAACATCTTTACTGCAAATTCTGTTTTCAAACTGTTGATTTGTAATGTTATGGCAAATACATGCATAGGCCATAAGTTATATTATGGAACGGGGGGTTGAGTAACAGCTCCCATGCACTTCAGACTTACTAATTCTAAAGAAATCATTTATAGCATGTTTATAAATAAATGAATACACAACATAGTCATGTTCAGTAGAGTGTGTTCTGTGACTTTGGGATGGACCAATATTCGATGTGGAACCTTACAAAACATCCTACAACTTCAAGTACAGAGTGAACAGAAATTTGAAGGAAAACATTCACTGACAGATTTTCAATCATGATTGCATTTGTTGTGATAACTGGTCGCAATCACAACACTGTATTGTGTTCACTCTCAACAAACTAGCTGCTAACATGTTCTGAACAAGAATGAGTGGTGAAAAAATCTGTGATCTACCACAAAACAACATGATTGGGTAAACATCAAAAACTGACATTTAAAATCACAAGATTTTTACCCTAGGTCATATTTACAAGCATATATCACAGTACAGACTTTTAACCAAGTGGAAAACTAATAGCATCAGCTACACAAGTCCACTATCATCAAGTAAGGGTATACACTGTGCCGGAACAGCTGGAGGTTCGAACATATTTACTACATTAAAACATAATCACTCAGCAAATACAACCTTCTTCTAAATGTATATAAAACTGACATGCCACTACGAAACATGATCATTACTCGCCTCTAGACAGGAATGGATAATGCTATTTTGGAATTGGTCTGACTACCTTGTTTATTAAGAAATATAACCACAAACACAAATTTCTCACTTTTAGCACATCTCAATATCTGAGCACAGAAAAAATGGAATTGTAAATCATGCAATTTCATCAGTGATAGCAGCAGTAAATGACCTCTCTCGGCTCTACAAAAACAAATAATAATATACAGGCCTGTAGCCAGCAATTTCAAAAGGAGGTTCTTTTTCCTGAAAAAGTGGACCTTTTATAATGAAATCTTTGTATACCTAGATCAAATTTTGCTCAGAGTGGACCTTTTTCTGACAAAAAGGGTGCTTTCGAAACCCCCCTGGTTACGGGCCTGATATATAATAAAATATAATATACACCATTGTGCAGCCACCCTCACTGCTATACAGCTGACCCAGCCTCTCCCGCTTGAAGTTCATCCAACAGGGCCGAGGCCGTCATTTCCAAGTCCCACTTAAAGTGCTTCAAAAGTTGCGTGCAGCGATCCCGCGTTGCAAGTCCCAGACGAAATAGCTGCTCAACTTTTAGATATTTCACTGCCTCTTCTACATTCCAGTGCATTTTACATAGCGCCGTGTGGCACTCGTCGAAGCTGGCCCCTCGGATTCGCGACTGGACCTCGTAAATCTGATCTTTTCTTGGGACTGAAACTGCTTGAGCTGCACCCATCATGGACGCGGAATCTGAAAATCCTGTCGCCACGGCTACCTCATCACCTGACGACACGGCCTTGAACCCCGTCATCCCCTGCCATGACATGCAGCTGGTGTTGGATTGGATGCCCAATGCCTCGATATTCTGATATGTCGCAGGGGAAGACGACGATGCTGACGTGTAAAACTTAGATTTTCCATCTACCGAAAATGGCTTGATTTCAGCAGTTGGCGGTGGCGCCCCCTTGGGAGGAATGAGAAAATAATGAGTGTGTGTTAGCTGCACTCCACTTTGGGAGATGGGTCGGATTTTTGGTCTCTTCGCATTTGCTTTCCGTAGTTCTTCATTATAGTCTTTTGGTGGTAAGGTTGGTGGGACGTCAGAATTATCTGAACTACTTAGAGATAACTTCTCAAAGTCAAGGTTACTTCCAACATTCCCATAAAGTGGAGTGTTAGAGAGTATATTATGTGTGTTAGAGAGTATTTTTGGTTTTACATCCTGTGGTTTGGAGAATGATTCATTGGGGACCTCATCGTATAAACGTGGTCCAAATACATCCGCAGCCCCGCCGCTATTTTTATCCAACCGTCTCCCTCCACTGGAGTCGGGGTCTGACAGGAGGTGAAGATGATCCGACATTTTCATTGGTGGACTTCCATCCAATGAGAATCGAACAGAACTGTCTTTGTGCCAAGAAGAATGCTGTCTGGGCTGAAAACTTGTTTTGGTCGAGGTGTCTGTCTGGCCAAACTTTTCCCACTTGGCCACCTCCGCGGCAAAATTTGAATACTTGTCTTTGGACTCGTCTGGTACTTGGTCGTACAGCCTGCCTGGGGAGGTCATGTCGCCCTTGTTGTCACTGATGCTGAATCGTGCAGGCATGCTCTGCCTCATGGTGTCCTCCCGCATGAACCCAGCTGCTACCTGCCCCTTTGGTACACCCTGTGTGTATGGCTTAGGTGTGAACCCACCAGCCACTCCAGGCACATTACTGTACATACTGGGTACTGACGGCGGGATCCCAACATCACTGCGGGACCCGGGGCTGTTTGGGGATGGCATGGTACCATAAGCACTGGTAGAACGCACCCTGAAATCCTTGAGTGATCCCCCGCTGTGGGTACGTGGTCTGTTCTCAGGGAGTGGACCCAAATTTAATGCATACCTCTTTAACTCTGGGTTTACCAAGAATGGATCGCTCGGTTTGTCAAACAGAGGTAGTGGCAAGCTTTGGTATTTTGGAGTATCTGGCAAACCGTCCAATAGGGTAATGGCGCTAGCAGAAGGCGGCCTCGCAGGAGGCGGCTGTGGTGCTGACGCAGGTGCGGAATCATCACTGAGATCAATAAGCAGTCCTACAGCAGTGTGACTCTTTGGCACAGAGTCTGATTTCTTGGGCTGAGGAACTTTTAGAGGAACCTTGGTACCAGAACTACTACTGTCGCTGTTACTGGGGAGGCTCTTGGTTGATTTTGATGACGGCTTTGTGTCTCCACTTCTCATCTCATTTTCTAGTTTGTTGTAATTAAACTGCCTCCCAGACTTAAAAAGTTCTGGAAAAAAATTGAAAACAAACATGAATGCCATGAGCAATTCACATCCTTGTGCAAGTTACTCACTGAAATACCCCACTCACCACCCTATTGTAGACTGCCCATTTAATACCCTTTTTTCAAAAACCGTTTTCATGTTTTTCATATTTACCTAGGTAAATTTCATTTAAAGGAATTCATGCTCTAAATACACTTTACAGTATGAAATTTGCAATTAATTTAACTATCTGAATACTTCATAAATTGACAATGTTTCATTTAGATAAATCTAAATATGACTGATAAAAATCTGGTTTTACTGCTTGTAATACTGTAGTATTCAGCAAGCCACACTAAAGCAAGCCATGGTGATTTATAAGGCATGAAATTATGTCACATTTTTGTATTAGTTTCCAACATTTCCAGGCCTCATATTAATACAACATGGTCAATATTTTTTTAAAATAACGTCAGTTACTGCTCATTGTTTTTTCAGGCTAAGTGATTTTTGAACCCTTGGGGTTGGTTTCACAGGAGAGCTGTAAACACACAACTGGTCTAAACCTTTTGAACAAAATTTGGTCTTCTTCACAGCAAAGTTTCATCTGAAACATCAACCATGTCTCTCCTAGTTTTAATGCCAATGAACAATATCTGAATAATATTGTGTCAGAGTGGAAAACATTCAGGTCCAAAGCTTCAGAACAGTTTAGGACTACACTTTTTTTGTGAAACAGATCCCTAAACCTAAAGTAATAGTAGGCTAAAACAAGACTGGTACTATTCCAGCTTACTAAGACTATCTGTCAATAAGAACTATTTCTTTAGAGCACATTCAGCACAGCAGACTAACAGATCTGCGGATCAAATATGGCAGACCCATTTGAATGTTTGCATAATCTTTGCAAGAAATCTATTCAGTGTATAATCTGGAATTAAGCGGCAAGCTTTTAAGAGGGTCACCATATTTGATCTGCAGATCTGTAAGTCCACTCTTCTGAATGCGCTCTAACAGTAGGCTTGAACAAATCTGGTACTGTCCTCTGTTCAAGCTGACTAAAACTATCTGTCGATAATTTCCTTACTTTTATTCCTGTCCGGCAGCTGAAGAGGCTGCACTGGCTCCGTCTCTCCCATTATATCCGGCGGCTCCATGGGGTTCCTTAAGTACACACTGAACGGAGATGGAAAAAACTGATCTCAGTGTAAAATACATTAAGCCACATAAATATGCAGTTAATGTTTTTGTGAAAGTGAAATGTATTTGAAGTTAATGTTTTTGTGAAAGTGAAATGTATTTCAAGCAAGACTGTGAAAGTTTTATCGAGTAATTTGTGGGTAATTCAAGCACTCAAAAGAAAGTAAAATACAATACAATATGCTACATTACTGGAAATTCTGAGTGTCAACCTGTAACATACCTGAACTTATCATTTGTAAATAATGTAAAATGTAATGTGTGTGTGTATGTGTGTAAAAGAGAGAGAGAGAGAAAGAGGTAGGGAGAAGTCCAGAAGAAAATATGGAACAATGTACGAATTTCAAAAAGAGAAGGACATGAAAAAAGGCAGAAGGGAATAAAGAATAAGGAAACAAACAAAAAAACAAAAACAAACAAATAAAAGCGTATATAAAGTTAAAACAAAGATGAACAGCAACAAAGCAAGAAAAGAGAATAAGACTCCAGTTATCCCAGTTACTCACTCATCTATGACCCCAGGGTCGCCCCAGGATTTTCCCCCAGCATCTGCGTGGCCCGTGTGGATAAAACTGTGTTTCAGCGGCTGACTGATATCCTGCCCTGGAAAGACATACGTCAAACGATTAATTTTACTGGAAAGAACCAGGATGTTAGGTCCTGAAATAAAATGTCCTAAGCAAATTATTTCTGCTGCTAGTCATCAGGAAAGACTTGTCCTGCCTGTTACATGTAATGGGGGGAGGGGGCATCTTTGCTGTAGTTCTCTTGTTCCAAACAATCCATTTATGATCTGAGAAATTTCTTAACTGCTCAAAACACAACAGTTATTAGTAATTCAAAACTATCATCAGATCTCTACCATCCTTACATCTAAATAAAGTGAACTGAACCCAAAAATTTTCACAAATGTGAGAGTTCAAATATTTAAACACAAAACACCCATCTTATACCTCAAAACAACTCTCCCCTTTAATCCTACAATGAAGAATATATTACATTATTAAGTCCCTATATTTGAGCTCTATTTCTCTTAATAAAATACAAAAATCATTCCATCACATCCAGAAGGTTTCTAAAATAATGTACTAAAAACAACAGTACCTATGACCAGATATCCTGAAATTCCAGGTAACATTCTATTCATTGACTGCTAATATAACTAAACTCTCCTGCAGATGTTGATGTAGGACCTCAAAATATTACCAAGTTTTGTGAAAACCCCACATAATATACCTCGGAGCACCTGTTCCATTGCCAGGAATTTTTACGCTCTCGGTAACTTCCTGTTTCCAGGACAATCAGACCAATCTCTGGCTGTGAGGAATCTTTCAGGAGTGGTCATAAACAACCACTGCTAGGTTTTATCTCTGTTCACGTACTAGTACATCTTCCAGGAGGGCGTAATAACTGTTTACATTTATGCATGGAGGAAAATGACTGGTTTTTATCCAGGAACTGCTGTTTCTCACAACCTTCATTTTCATTACCAAATGTGTTTAGTTTTCTGGGAATCTCTGCTAATTGCCATTTCTAACGTATTAGTTATCCAAACAAGAAAATAATGGCAATAATAACCTCATTACTAAATGGGTTGTAGTTTTCTGGGAATCTCTGCTATATCTCCATTTCTAACATACTAGTTATCGAAACAAGAAAGTATTGGCAATAATGACCTCATTATGGAACCAGAATCAGCAATTAGATCACAAATTAGCTGAAGCCAGAGACTTTGTTAATAAAATGTACACCTGGGGGAGTATTACTGTACTGTCAGTTATGTATTGTTAGCAGATTAGTGATGCTTACCTTCACTTGATAGATAAGTCTCTCCCTTTATACACATAAACTCTGGGGAACACCTCCTATCAACCAGCTAGGTAAGACATTTGGTATAACTACAGACTCTGCATGAGGTAATGTGGTCTGAACTCACACTCAAGACAATTTACACTGGGTAAAGAACACTACAAATGTTTGATATTTTTGTTGCTAATATTTGATATACTTGAAAGAATTCAAACAAAAAAGTACTTTGTTTTCCAGTTTCTTTCTTTAGTTATTTGTTTCCTTACATAAACAAGTGCATAATAAAAAACACCCTCTAATGCTACCTTCAATATTATGTACAGGAAACTGTCAGGCCACAAATGATATTTCATGTCACACTCCTCTTTATATGTTCCATCAGTGATCACAGACAACACACACACACACATATTTACAATATAACACCAAGAAAGCAGCTATCTGTACTCAAAAACATGCCCCACAAACTCTCAGTCCTCCTTACCTTTTCTGGTCAGTAACAACCTACATGTGCTGTAGAATACAACATCAATGTACTGGTCTCACCACAACTCACTCCTCACTGTTCAACCACTTCCTTCCCACAAGGACCAGACACACCAAACATGGTTTTATATTTTATATCTAAGGCCCCTTTCAGAATAGCGGGACTGACTAGTCCAAGGGTTAAATATGGCCAATCCACTTGAATACTCCCCCATGGTATATCTATTCAGTGTCTTTTAGCAGATTTGATGGCAATCTGTGTAGGGGTCACCATATTTGACTCTCGGACTAGTTAGTCCCCTATTCTGAATGGGGCCTAACACATAGAAAACAGTGCTGCCGCAAAACTATACAAAACTTTCAGGGCTGTTGCCTCAAGTCCTTCTACTACTGGCCAAACATTTCAACTCAGTTTTTTTCTATAATGTAACTACAACAGTAATGGCTTGACCATAACACAATAGCCCTCGCCTCTTCCCATTTTCTTCATCCCCGACTAAGTTACACTAAACTTCACTACATCACTGGGTTTCAAACAATTTCAAACAAAATCCAATTATTCCGACTTCCTCCCAGCCTTTGTTCCGTTGCCTTAAGCCTACGAGCACATCTAAAGACATCTCCTTCTTCAGCGCGCCTCACCCACGCCTAACCCAATGCCCCATTATGTGGAACTAAGTGACACACAATAACTTCTTAATGAACTTAGTAACTGAAACCTGGTACTGTATCAGATGAATTTCCCATGTCTTTGCTCACTAAATAGTCTTCACTTACAGTAATTCTTTAGTGATATTGGTTTTATCCTCTTGTCATAAATAAATGAATATATATGTGTGAATAGTAATCAGTCTACTAAATCATGATTGTTTTCTTAGTTAATATATTTAAATAAATAAATAAATAACATATAAATAAACATAAGTTAACATATAAATAAAGAAATAACATAAAGCACTTCAAAATAACATTGATAAATAATAAGTAATTGCAATAAAAATAAATTGCAAGTGTCTTTAGAGATTAACAATAACTCACTTCTCTCTATTCTATTCATGATGGCTCCTTCAATGGTGGCTGTGAAACCTTCCACTATAGTGTGATTATGGGTACTAACATATACACACGCACAGGTCTTATATATACATATATATATATATATATATATACTCAAAAACACAGATGTGGGCTTTTCTGATCTCCCTATCCGGAAGTTCAGGCCATGGAGTTAAATCTATTGTTTAACAACCCAAAAGAACAGTCAATAAATTAAAGTGTTATGGAATAAAGCAACAAACTCAACAGGCTAAAAATACTAAAAATACCTAAAAATCATATTTTGCTGTCAAAAATAAATGATTCGAAAGGTAACAAGTTGTTTTAAGTTTTTCTGTCACAAGTGAATTATTCAAGGAACAAAACTACATTTTAGTATGTCAAATAAAATTGTAAGGAGAAACAAGTGAGTACAGACCTTGGCCTTGGAAGTCTGTCAACCCACACTTTATTATGTCTCACATCAAAGTGTTAACCTTATAATAATATGAGTCAAGCAAAAACACAATAAATTAAATACAGTAATATGGTTAAACAATCTGCCATAGAACGTTTGCTTTCAAATATTACAGCAAAACAAACACTGTTACACTCTACTAAAATTAAGTCTTTTGCCATTTGCCTTCCTATAGTGTTATCTCCAACCTCAAACTTGTACATTTGACAAAACCAGTAACCACACTCAGTAAAGTTATATTTGGCAAGAAAGAAAAGTGTTTCAATATTTTGGATCTTTGATAAGAACATCTTGCTTAAAGGGATAACAGCTGTTTGTTTTAGCCAAAAAAAGATTTTCTGAGGTAAATGGCCATTTTTCCAGTACTTAACAATGGTTAATAAATCAATTCCCACAATCAAAGCAAGTCCAAAAAATTTATAAAATGTTTTTTTTTTGTTTTTGTAAAAATCTCTTAAGAGCTAATTACCGAGGTTAGGCCTACTGAGGTAAAGTTATGAAGGTCCACATGGTCTGGCAGCAAGCACAGAGTCCTGAATAATTTCCTTAACTGCTGTCTGTATATTTCTATGAGTTGTTTATAATGTATTTATTGTGAAATACAAATCTCATATGAACAGTTGTTATCCCTTTAAACCACCATGTTATCTTGACTATCACACAGCCTCATCTATCAACAGCATTCCTCCTACTGCCACCGAGACATCTGCAGCACTGGATAACATGTCTGGGACCAAAGCCATAGGTAACTGAGGTTCTAAATAATCTTAAATACTCATCAGAGATGCATGTGTGCTTGTGTACATACGTGTGTGTGTGTGTGTGTGTGTGTGTGTGTGCGTGTGCATGAATGTGCGTGTGGTGTGTGTGACAAGGGAGAAAAAAAGAAAGAGGGAGAGAGAGAGGGAGGGAAATTAGAGGGAGAGGGAGAGGAAAGGAGGGAAAGGGAGAGGAGAGAGAGAGAGTGGATGGAAGGAGAAGAGCAAAGACAAAGAAAACATTAAAAGTGAGGAAAGATTTTCCTGACAACAAAGTCATCTACAAACAATTGTTTTGAAGTGCCCTACACAAGGACACAACTACCTCCACATCTCAGCAACCTAGTCTCATACCAATTTTACAAAACAAGATATAAACACATCACCTCATATCTGAGGGTAACTTACAGTAGCCTGTCTTATCACTTGTCATCTCAGTCATAAAATACCCCAGCCCAGCAGGTTTCCCCTTCCCTGCCTCAGTCCAGACTATTCCTGTATATATATATATACAGTATTTACTTGATCTTTTCAATGGGCAAAATTATCAAACTTTCAGATACATAAGTTTATAATCACAAAAATCATATGTCTATGTAGCATTTGTGGTGCTTTTACTGCATAGAAAAGAATTAAAGAGTATGCCTGCTTTTAAATATTTGTCGCAATCGCTCAAGAGGTATGTTCTTATTTTAAGAAATAATGACTAAATAAATATCGTATATCTGTAAGACTCCGTTCTCATACCAAGATTGATCTAGCAGGATCAACCCATCTTCGAGGGGTTTTTCTCGATAAATTACATTCAGCTTCAGCAGCTATGATGTCTGGCACACCTACTGAAGCTATTAGGTGGAAATTTACTATTGCTTAGCAGCTTCAGTTGATGTACCAAACATCTAAGTCATTTAATCTGAATGCAATTAAGCAAGAATCCTCTCGGAGATGGGTCGATCCTGCTAGGTCAATCTAGGTATGGAAATGGGGTCTAAGATTCACAATTTTCTCCCATTGAAAAAATTGAGTTATTACAATATAGCAGACCCATGCCAGTCCAGTCTCCACCAGAAGCTCTATATACTCACCACAGTAACCACAGACTCTGTGCTATGGCCAGGCATATAAGAGGGAGTGGCATTGTTTTCTTCCACATCAGCAGAGATGTGGAGCTCGGGTCATTATACAGGAAGGGATGGGAAGAGAGAATACTAAGAAAGGTTCTTCACTTTACCCTTCCCATGAATTTTTCCATCTCATAAACAACAATTTTATACAAAACACAGCAACTTCCTAAAGTCTCTTTCATAAGTAAAACAGATGAAATAAGCCAAAAAGAAGAAAAGTCTCATGCAGTTGAAATATTTATAAAAACACACAATACCAATCTCCCCTTAATGGTAGGTTAGCTTGTTATATACAATGTGTCATAACCAGCATTATGGTGCTTAACTAATCCATTACTTAATACATTTGATGGATGACCTCATATCTATTGCATGAAATTATCAGGAGAACCACTAAAGCATATTACTGAAGTGTTATCAGACATGATTGATGGTTAAAGCCTTAGACTGCCAGCAGCTAGGTGCCTTTGTTCCAATGGCTGTTTTTTTTTTTTTTTCAGTTAAGTCTGTTAGCCAGTTAGTTATTTAGTTCGTCTTATACTTAATGAGGAAAGTGTAGGCATATTCTTTTTGCTTTTAACCACTTTCATTTGACCAACAAAACCTATATGCCAACAATGAAAATCTTCCGACATAACCTAAAATAAGGTTGTCGGCAATAACTGACTTCATATGCAGGGATGGATCCAGAGATACTTTCTGACAGACTTCCAAATTATGTTTGTTGATCCATTCTTTATTTTTGACCATCCTCCGACAGAAAAAGATTAGATGCACGTCAATGTAAACTTGAAAATCTGACCATCTCTTGAAAAAAGACCTAGAAAACGGCCTCAATCCATGAGACGAGAAAACGTAAGAATACCACACAAAACATTGCCAATACGTACTGATGAGCAACAGACTATAAAATATATGTGGATACATTCTATCAGTTGTCATTCAGTGCCACACCACACTTGCTTATCTGCACCCTTCCAAATCCCACAAAATCTCATTTGCTTTTCTGCTAATTCAACCTCGAATGAGTTCCATTCTATTTTGTGGATGGATCTCCCCTCTCTGACAAGCATTTACATAGAACGGGTGGCTTCCAAAACTGATGAGATTATAAATGATGCCACTCAGCCTGGTAATGAACTCTTGAAATTTGTCCCAAGCAAATGTGGACTTTAAATTTTCAGAGGAAGCAAACAATTTTTAAAAAGCTTTTATCCAACCACTACATCTCTTTTTAAAAGTAAAAGTTAATAATTGTAACAGTTACTCTTAACCCTTCCTTTTATTTCTGCCAGTATTGTTTTGTACTATTTTATTTGATTTTCATTTATCTATTTGATCTTTCTTAATCCCTAAGTTGGTAAAACAGTTTTCATTTTATATGCATTTTATAATATACATATACAATGGCTGAATAAACTTTATTATAATTATTATTATTATTATTATTATTATTATTATTATTATTATCTGGACAAAGTTTCCTACCTGTCATCTTCCTCTGGGGGTCAACCAGTGCTCTGGGAAACTGACCAACTTCATGGGTTCTCTTGTTCTGTCCTTTCCAGTAATAACACTCAGCTCTGGAGAGAGGAGAGAAATTTCATTTTATATCTAATGATAAACTCAGAAAATTAAACAGACCAATATTTGGCGTTCTTTAAATTTTTATCCTTCCCAAATGTAAGGAAAAATACAATGAAAAAAAGAAAAATACAGTGCAAAGTTGCATAAAAGTTTATAAAAGATCCATTTAAACAGGTGTACCATATGCCTTCATCATTTCCTGAGAAAACAAACATTACTAGTTCTCAAAATTTTTATCCCTCTCATGTGTAAAGAAAAAGGAATGATGTAAAAAAAAGAAAACAACACAGTTTTTTCAGAAAGGTTAACTATTAGGACCAATTTTTCACAGATCTATCCCTCACCTGCCCTCTATCACTGTCAGGACATCCCCCTCCTCCGTGTGAAGCTTACCCTCCTCCGAGTACGCACTCATAGCACGCATCTCCATTGGGCGTGCCTGAAAAATAGAACAGTTTTCTTAATATACAGTACAAATATCCCATCACAATATCTTATCTGTATCAGGTTCCTGTGGATTACACATGAAGAAATTTGTTTTGGAAATATAAACAGAAGGCCTTTAAATGTAAATCCACCCTGCAAAAAAGCTACATTCTAATATATATATATACACACACACACACTAAAACTATATATATATATATATATATATATTATCATATAGAGTATTTAAATAGAGTGCGGAAAAGTAGGGTTTATAAGAACAGTTATATGCCTGGTCATTATATACTGAGACCATCATGAGGTACTGAAAACTAGAATCCTAACACAATATTTTTCTGTAAGGACAGGGACCCTGCTTGAACCCTGAAGTGCTAAGTGCAGAAGTGCAGGGAGACAGCAGGTACTGTTTATAAAGTACTGGTATGTCCTCAGACAGGTCGAACCAACATCCTCCCACTCTAACCACAAGGCCATCTGGTCAGCACCTTAATATCCTTGAGTGCTTTTGAGGTGAATATATATATATATCCTGTGTCTTACCTCATATATGAAATCCTTGAGGGCTTCAAAGGTGGGTCTGTCCTGTGACTTACCTCACATATGAAATCTTTGAGGGCCTCAAAGGTGGGTCTGTCCTGTGACTTACCTCACATATGAAATCTTTGAGGGCCTCAAAGGTGGGTCTGTCCTGTGACTTACCTCACATATGAAATCTTTGAGGGCCTCAAAGGTGGGTCTGTCCTGTGACTTACCTCACATATGAAATCTTTGAGGGCCTCAAAGGTGGGTCTGTCCTGTGACTTACCTCACATATGAAATCTTTGAGGGCCTCAAAGGTGGGTCTGTCCTGTGACTTACCTCACATATGAAATCTTTGAGGGCCTCAAAGGTGGGTCTGTCCTGTGACTTACCTCACATATGAAATCTTTGAGGGCCTCAAAGGTGGGTCTGTCCTGTGACTTACCTCACATATGAAATCTTTGAGGGCCTCAAAGGTGGGTCTGTCCTGTGACTTACCTCACATATGAAATCTTTGAGGGCCTCAAAGGTGGGTCTGTCCTGTGACTTACCTCACATATGAAATCTTTGAGGGCCTCAAAGGTGGGTCTGTCCTGTGACTTACCTCACATATGAAATCTTTGAGGGCCTCAAAGGTGGGTCTGTCCTGTGACTTACCTCACATATGAAATCTTTGAGGGCCTCAAAGGTGGGTCTGTCCTGTGACTTACCTCACATATGAAATCTTTGAGGGCCTCAAAGGTGGGTCTGTCCTGTGACTTACCTCACATATGAAATCTTTGAGGGCCTCAAAGGTGGGTCTGTCCTGTGACTTACCTCACATATGAAATCTTTGAGGGCCTCAAAGGTGGGTCTGTCCTGTGACTTACCTCACATATGAAATCTTTGAGGGCCTCAAAGGTGGGTCTGTCCTGTGACTTACCTCACATATGAAATCTTTGAGGGCCTCAAAGGTGGGTCTGTCCTGTGACTTACCTCACATATGAAATCTTTGAGGGCCTCAAAGGTGGGTCTGTCCTGTGACTTACCTCATATATGAAATCCTTGAGGGCTTCAAAGGTGGGTCTGCCCTGTGACTTACCTCATATATGAAATCCTTGAGGGCTTCAAAGGTGGGTCTGTCCTGTGACTTACCTCATATATGAAATCTTTGAGGGCTTCAAAGGTGGGTCTGTCCTGTGACTTACCTCATATATGAAATCTTTGAGGGCTTCAAAGGTGGGTCTGTCCTGTGACTTACCTCACATATGAAATCCTTGAGGGCTTCAAAGGTGGGTCTGTCCTGTGACTTACCTCATATATGAAATCCTTGAGGGCTTCAAAGGTGGGTCTGTCCTGTGACTTACCTCACATATGAAATCCTTGAGGGCTTCAAAGGTGGGTCTGTCCTGTGACTTACCTCATATATGAAATCCTTGAGGGCTTCAAAGGTGGGTCTGTCCTGTGACTTACCTCACATATGAAATCCTTGAGGGCCTCAAAGGTGGGTCTGTCCTGCGGCTTGTGTGACCAGCACTGTAGCATCAGTTGATAAAAGTCCATAGAACAGTGGTCTGGCTTCAGGAGACGCTCACCAAGCTCCACTTTCTGCAAAATCTGAAGAAAGAAAAATCACTTTTTGAATTGTACAGCCGTCTTGCAATGGGTCATTATGCTTCTGCTGCCATCTATCATTAATTTTGTGCCATATTATGTTTTTCATTTAAGGCACAGGGATTGAAATAATTTTATCAAGTATATCATTTTCAGTGGTCTGAATGATTGGAAAAGGTAAGATATTATTGGGAATTTGGGTAACTGTAATGAAAGTTTTTATAATTCATTTTGATGTAGTATTCTGTGCCAATTATTTAACCAAATTCCATTTTTTATATCATATCTATCATCAGTTACTTCTCATTATTAGATTCTGTATCTACCATCAACTGTCTACAAGTGAAGTACTCTCTCTCTCCCTCTCTCTTTCTCTAGTACCTGTGTTCCATTGTAACCCAGCCACGGTTCTTCTCCATAGGAAAACATCTCCCACAGTGTCACTCCAAACATCCAGGTGTCACTGGCGTGGGAGAACTGGCGACACTTGAGAGATTCTGGGGCACACCTGTGACAATAAGACAAGAGTCTTCAGTTTAAAGTAACTCTTGTAAGAAATGTGTTTTTTCTTTCAATAAACTAAAGCTACCATTTTGCTACTAAAAAAGATATATTTTGTGCAACAGGTTATTATATTTTACATTCATTGATATTGCAGAGAAACTACAATCACAATCTGTCACACCTAACACAATCACTTCACATAACGCCTAACACAATCACTTTCTGTCTCACTTAACAGTTACTCTTTGTCACACCTAACACAATCACTATAATTACCTAACAAAATCACTTTCTGTCACACCCAACAAAACCTCCTCCTGTCACACCTAACACAATCACTTCAAATATCACCTAACACAACCACTTTCTGTCACACCTAACACAATCGCTTCAAATATCACCTAACACAACCACTTTCTGTCACACCTAACACAATTGCTTCAAATATCACCTAACACAATAACATCCTGGCACCTCTAACACTATCACTCCATCTCAGACATTTCCCGTCTCACACTCAATTCCTGTTACTTCTTACATACTAACAGCCAGACTCACCAGGCAAATGGCACCTTCCTGTGTTCCGTCATCACATAGTGGTCTTCCTGACTGGGAAGAGCTCTCATCAAACCAAAATCTCCAATCTTCACCTAGAAATATGAACAGTACATGAAACAGTGATTGGATGGTATTTTTCAATGACATCATAATTTGATATCAAAACATGAAATTCAAAATGTTGAAAAAATCCCCAAAGAAAATTAAGGAAAATTCTTCACTGCCTAAGCAAAAAAAAATAGATTAGCTAAATGGTTATTACAAAAACATGAAAAAGCATACCGACTGTGCTCAACCCTAAGGAGAGTATCAGGTTTTCTATTTCAGAGAAGTGTTGTAAGATCTTACCTTTTCAGAAGTAGCCAGCAGAACATTTCTGGCTGCCAGATCTCTGTGAATGAACCTCTTGCTCTCCAGGTATGCCATGCCAGTGGCTATCTGCAGAGCGTAGTCACAGAGTGAGGAGATCAGATAACGGTGACCCTCTTGGCGGAGACGGTCAATTAACGCACCAAGAGGAGCCAGCTCTGTGACCTGTAAAATCGTGGAATTTGCTTCTTAAATTTAAATCTACAGAAAAAATCTAAATGGGAAATAAATATCTTGAGATTAGGAAAAGCTACTTCACAAACAATTGGCAATCTTGGACAGGATAAATATGCAACTGTACTGTTTAAAATGTAGCAAATACGTCAGACAGTTTTTCTACAGCTTTTGATAATTTGGTTAAAATAACATGAAAATTGTTGACAACAAGACCAAGATGCTTGACTTATTTAACCTGTTAAGCTGATCAGTATAACTTGCTATAAAAGTTCACCACAGGGATAGCATTTTAATTTTTAGTCTACAATCCTAGAGACATTAATCTTAGCACTAAAGCACTGACCATCATGAGAGGTGAGGTGAAGACAACCCCATACAGGCGGATCAGGTTTGGGTGATCCAGGGAGTGCATGGCGTTCACCTCCTTGGCAAAGTCTTCAAATGCTCCAGGAATGGCAAGGACATCATTCTTTAAGATCTTCACTGCCACTGGCACCTGAAAAGATTGTTTCATGTATTCACTACTTCTGGAGAAAGGAGTAATTTCAAACAAATGTGCCACATCCTGAAACAGACTTATGGTACATGGCTCACTACAGGTCGATGTTAAAGGGTTCTCTGTAATTCAGCAAACATCCCGGCCCCTAACTACCACATGCAAATATGAGAATTATTGATATTTCATCATGATTTTATATTCCCACACGATCCAACAATAAATCCCAAAAGGCTACCTACATATTTTGTGTTTCCCCACATACTTAGTTTTTCCCTCACCTCCTTCCTGCTGTGACAGTTATTTTTTTTCAACTGTGCCAAAGTGACGAGAACAGTACTGAACATAATCCAGTTTCTAACCTTACATCCAGATGGTGTTGTCCAATCTCCCTTCCTGACCAAACCAAAAGAACCGTCCCCAAGCTTGCCGTAGAGACACAAGTCCTTGTCGTTGATCAAACAGGTCAGCGCCACATCACTCAGGGAGTTGATGGAGCTGACAGAGGGCCTACTTTGGGAACCCGATCGCTTGGTCAGAGTGGATATCGCTGTGGAAATTGAACTGGCTTTTTCTTTGGAGCCTGGAATGATCTGTAATGAGAAATGTTTATGTTTAGTAGGGAATGCATGTGACCAGGGATCTGAAACAAAAAAAAGCGGTCATGCTATCTTAATGTGAATTCATTGCAGAACGAATGACACAAATCATTGGGAATCATGTAAATGTTAGTGTAAACTTAATGAATTAAAGTCAGAGAAATTAAAATTTATCAATAAGGAAAAGAAGAGTTTCACAATTTCCACAGAGACTAAGTGTGAAGGTGTAAATATATCAAATATGAAAACCACATCTAATACAGCATTCTTCACCACTTTAAATGACAGCAAGATAATTTTATTGTCAGTTTAAAATATGTGATGAGTATTATTCTTTGCAGAAAAACTATGGTTCTTACCTTTTGGAAAATGCCTTTTTTGCTGGCATTTTTCTTCTTTTTGACGGCATCAAATAACCTGCGTATACCAGGCTTTCCCATGCCAACTTTCTCCAAATCTTCGCTCTTGACATAGGCAAAGTGAGACAAGCTAAAGAAGAAATAGTGAAAAACAGAATGAGCAAAACCATTTAAAAGCAGACAATACAGCTACTAGAACATACTAAATCAAGTTTAACAGGGCAGTTCAATGGTTCAAAAGGACCCCCCTTTTTGCAGGAAAAAGTTCCACTCTGGTTAAAAATTAACCTAGGTACACAGAGGTTTAAAGGTGAAAGGTCTACTTTTTCAGAAAAAAGGAAACCCCTTTTGAAATTAAAGGCTGTGGGCCTGTTTAAATACCTGCTTTTACTTCTGCACATTACAAGTTTGAAAGGTGTAGGGGCATTCCGTGGTATTCGTTTTGCATTACGGACGGAATTTTGACACTTTAAAAATAAATTCTACAAAAACTATAATACATACATCATTCAAATTTGGCAGGAATATTGATTAGTGCAAGCCTAAACTTGTGACCAAAAAACTTGAAATAACATTTATTACTTTTTGAGAAATATTGGTTATTGATCACCATTACGGACGGAAAAAAATGGACAAGCGTTTTTATTAATCAACTTCAACTTCAAAACTCTGCTCTGTTTGTGGCTTTTTAAAGATAAAACTGCATTGACATGACAATTTCATTATTCTAGTTACTAGAAATGTAAAAGGTTATTGAAAAAAATTTTTTTTTGTTATGAAATTTTGAAGTTTAAAAAATCATGTCAGATTACGGACGGAAAATTACGGACGGAAAATTTGTCCACAGTGCAAAACTTACACAGAAGCCATTAAAAAAGTACTATAATCATTTATTCATAGTTAAAGTTAACTATTTACTAAATACATACATAATAGAAAGTTATTTTTGATGTCAACTCAAATATTTTTGTGAGCTATTTCAAATTACAAAAATCAACTACAGTGTACACTTTCAGGAATAAGAGATTCCTTGCGTTCTTATATAGTCATTGTTTAAAATGCTGTGTTGAATGCTCATTCAGAATAGCTACATTTTAAAAGTCTTTTTTTTTTCATGCTTAAGTTTAAACAGTTTGTTTTTATTCTGACACATTAAGATCAACAGAGAATTTGTATCTCTGGCGTTGGTCCATCACAGGGAATGGTAAAAGTTTGATAATTTGGTCATTGGAAATCCACGCTGTCTTCTTGAGAAGGAAAGGCAAATAGTGTTTTTGGCTTTTCCTTTGCTTGGAGAAAAGTTACTTCTATATCACCTCCATCTATGAATATAATTTGACCTAAAAAATCTTTACTGTTAATCTCTGAACCAGGACATAGGATAATTTCAGGAAAGTGGCATGTTGCCAAAACAAAGGCCTGGCCTCTAGTCATTTTTGATTAATTGTGGTCAGTAATTATCTTAACTGCTCATCTCCCAGGTATATGCAACATGTATATGACAGGTAAGTGATCAGAAGCACATTTTATCTTCAAATTGCAATCAAAGTAACTGAAAATATCCAGGAGAAGCCATGATCATAAGTGATCCTTAAGGTGCAATTCAAATGCCACTAGTTGACAAGTGAGACAGATGTTTACATGTCTTGCCAGGTAAGAAAAAGCACTTTTTGACTTTAATCCTGCATTTTTGAATAATCTTTTTTTTTAATTAACCTTTATAAGGGAAACAGTTCTTCTTTAGTTTTAAAATTCACAAATCTATTACTTGAGTAAGCCACATGAAACCACTCAGTAGAAATGTTATAGCCAGGTAGCTATGCCTTTCCGTCCGTAATGCTAATTTTCCATCCGTAATGATTTTTTATTATGAAATTAATTTGTCATCAAACATGTTTAAAACATTTTTTTGGATATTTGGTAAACATAGGACTAGTGTGAGGAGGATATGAAAGGAAATTTTTTTTTGCCAAGTAGTCTTTAAAAAAACTTAAAAAATAGAGCCCAAATCATTACGGACGGAAAAAACGAATTTGGATTAATGATTAATTAACTATTTTTTAAAGATTTCACTTGATTTTTTATGTGTTTACCTCAAGGAATTGCTGTAATTTATGTCTCAATTGAAAGATATTGATTAAAATTTATTTTGAGTGTTATATGCAAAAAATAAAAAATTCCGTCCGTAATGCTAATTTTCACATTTTTCAAGTTTAACGCGCTATAAAATCATGAATTCAAAAAAAAAACAGGTAAATCTTTTACAAATTCTTTTCCCCTGAAGTCTCTTCTTTCAGAAAATGCAACTTTTGATTGATTTTTGTACATTTGAAAATTTTATGCCCAGGACACAAATACCATGGAATGGCCCTGTATCACAATGAAACCATGGATTCAAAGATTTGACTGTGTTGATATAACAGATTAAATTGTGTAAGTGTAATAGATTCAATTGTGTTAGATGTGACAGGATGTGATCGGGTAGTGTGACAGTTCTGATTGTGTTAGATGTGACAGGATGTGATTGTTCCAGGTGAGACAGCATGTTTTAAAAGTAAACCCACCGTGTGACCTGCAGATCATCCCTCAACTTCACGTAGAACTGGTCAAGCTGGATCTCCTTCAGCAGGTCAAGGAGCCACTCTGGGCTATCCTCTGTACTGGTCGCCATGGCAACTAACTCGGCACTAGAAAAAACAAAATACAATTTTCTGGTACATGTCTTAACCGCACAACTTACACTACAGTATAGTAATACTATAGTAAGTGTAACTGCAACACATGTAGTAGTGACATGACACTCATGTATAAAGTTGAGATCCCGCCCTTATAGTTTTATGTTTTCATTAGTTTTTATCAGTTTCAGTTCAAATCAACTTAATTTAGTTTCTGTTCACATTTATTTATGCAGTAAAAACACATTATATTCTCCAAGACAGTTTCCGAGTTGTAAATGGTACGGTCACGGCAACAGTAAGGGATACACACAATGTGTATTAGACTTACCTCATCAAAACTATTGAGAAAATAGTTTTCTTTAAATTTTTTTTCTAGTTCTAAATCTCTCACTTACACCAACACAAGTAAAAGTAGCCAGCCTCTAACTCTGCTACCAGATTGACTCAAAAACAAGAATTTTAATGAATCATAAGTCTGTGAAGGCTTTTTGACATATTTGATAATTTGATGAATAAAGGAAAAATGAAGATTCCAGAAAAAAATAATTTTTGCTGCCCAAAGGTCTTAAGTCCTAAAAATAAACACTATGAACAATCAAATACAGAAACTTGCATATTACTGTCTTTTTCTGCTATGAAATTAATTGCCTGTTCCAGGTGCTCATTAGCCTGTCACCTAAACTGGCGAAAGGTTGGCAACATACGTGCTGCAGACACTTTTCCTTCCAACAAATGACATGTGTGACTCAAGCGTGAGTCACATGTATTATTTTTATTTTTCACAAGACAAGTTTTGGGGTCAAGGTA